TAGAGGAAAATGTATCTTCTAATTAACATGGAGAATATAAACATAATGGTGTGATCATTTAGTGCACTAAGAAAGCTAAGTGTTTCCTCTTGACTAGTGTGGGGGAGACAATTGTGGAGTCAGGGAGTGAAGCTTTTGCCTTTCCGCTGGTGGGGGTGTGCTCCATTTATCAAGCTGGCTGGGCTGTCATATCAGTGGAAGGACCCTGGAGAGCCCTGACCAGGAGATTGAAGGTTGGTACCAATTTACTGCAACACAAATGCATTGAACAGGAAAGACAGAGCTCCTAATCTCTTCAATTTTCTTACATTACCCTGAAGGCCATGGAATTAAATGAAACAATAGCTGGTGACAACTTCAGTGAGTCCTGAATGCATGACAGGAGAAGTATTAAAATAGCTCAATAGTTTTATTTCATATGAGTGTGTTAATCCTACCCCTGCATAAAGAACAAGTTAGAAAACAATATCTCTTGACATCTTCCAGAGGGAGGGAGAAACTTATTCAGTGCTGTGTCTGCCTGGTCAAAACCTGTTAAAATACATGGAAAACAACTACCACCACTAAATAGTAAAAGTACTAGCTATACAATAAACAAAACTCAATTTTGGGGTAATACAGTTTTTTATTTGTACATTGCATTTCACATCTTGTGCTTTATCCTTCAGTTTCCAAGAGGACCAAACTGTGAAAAGTCATAGAGACTGCCAGAGTGAATGAGACTGAAGGTCCGTCTAGTCCAGTAACATGTCTCTGACAATTGCTAGTCCCAGATGCCCTAGAGCAGTGGTGATCAACCGGTAGGTCTTGAGATCTACCGGTAGGTTTTGGAGCCTCTGACAGGTAATGCACCAATCAATGAAGGTCTCAACTTTTAATTCATAATAGAGATTCCTTTTGAGCTTTATTTCCCTTCCAATGCTGTGTTAGTGTTAGCTATTATAACTTTGGATAGTGTTGTTATCTTTAAACGTCCAATCCTTCTATCAATCTTGCTAACTTGTGAGATCACTGAGCATTACCTACAAGTATCCTAAGAGACTTTAGTGTAAGATCAGAAAAATATGAAAAGAAAAGAAACTGATTATAGTATCTTCTCCCGTACACATTTAATACTTGTTCAAAACACACAGCACCTTCCTTTACAAGTCTACCCATAGGATCAGAAGCATTCTAAATGCCGCTAGCAAGGTATAAATAATAATACAACATGGTTATATATAACTGGGAATAAACCTACAGCATCCGTATCCCTTCAATTTAAAGGACTGCTAAAGGCCATAGTTTCCCATTTGTGTGTGGGTTGAGAGAGAGAGGAGTGTGACAATAAAAGGACATACACAATTATTATAGTATTGCCATTTGCAAACCTACAGTTAAAGGTCAGTCAGGTTTTCCACTGTAATATTTTTAGGTATTTATAACTTAGCTATCTAAAAACTTGCTCTGGGTTAATATTTTCTATACTGACTCTTAACCCAAAGATGAGCTTTATCTTTTTTTCAGAAGGTTTTAAAATGTTTTTCATTTATAGACTTTCTTTAAAACCAACAAACCCAAAGTGTGCTAGCTTCAAATGGTCTTTTGGGATTATAAACAAGTAAAACAAGTTGAAAATATCCTTAGATTTAAAAATGAAATTTAGAAAGTTGTGAGTCCAATTGCTTTTGGAATTTTGAAAAGCAAAGCCAACAAAAATGACACAAATATTGTAACTTTACAGTTTTATCGTGTTCCTAACCATTCCAATTTCTGCCTGCATTGTGCAAAAGATTTTATGACTCATGCAAGCAATGTGGTTCCTAATGAGGTCATTCCTCTCTAATCAGTTGTACAACTAAAGTGCATATGAAAGGATGTAATGATACATTATAAGAAAAATACAATGGTTTGGTAAAACACAAACATTAATTTTTTTTTTTAAAAAAAGGTATTTATCTTACTTCTGGGAGTGTAATTGTGCAGCCAGGATTCAGCAAGATATTTTGTCATGTGTTTTTCTTCAAGTATGTGCTTTTCTTGAAGCATATCAGACATGCTGTTGAAATCAATGGGACGACTCACATTTTTAAGGTTAGGCACATGCTTCAATACAGTCCTGAATCAGAGCTTCAGGGGTTACATAAGAACCAAAGTCCTGCATATCAGTAACAAGGCAAAACACTTCATGCAATCACCTGAGCATGTATTTTTTAAATCCCACTGTTATCAATGAGATTTGTGTTTCATCTTAACATTAAGCACCTGCTTTAGCGCATTGCTCAATTAGAACTCAAGAAACTTGCTGTCAGTTGCTTCACCCCTTGAGGGCAATGAAGCATGGCATGTGCATGGGGGGGGGGGAGAGTCAGTCCCCAGAACATCTCACAACCTACCACCTACCTCTCAGCACCTCCCAGAGCCCCACACTCTCTCCCTGCTGCACTCACCAGCCCTGCTGGGAAGTGACTGTGCAGCCAGGGATGGTCCTAAGGTGGGGAATCTCTCCAGCTCCTCAGGAGTGGCACAATCTGCCAGGCCAGGGCCTGTCTCAGAGAGGCTCCCTCAAGACTCATTGGGCTGCAGGGGCTTGGCCCAGCCACCTCTCAGCACCTCCCAGAGCCCCACACTCTCTCCCTGCTGCACTCACCAGCCCTGCTGGGAAGTGACTGTGCAGCCAGGGATGGTCCTAAGGTGGGGAATCTCTCCAGCTCCTCAGGAGTGGCACAATCTGCCAGGCCAGGGCCTGTCTCAGAGAGGCTCCCTCAAGACTCATTGGGCTGCAGGGGCTTGGCCCAGCCACTCTCTTTCTCTCTTCCCCCCCCCCCCCCCAGCCCACAGCC